TCCTGAAACTTTGGGTATCAGTCTGGGTTGTTCTCGTCTCTGAGTTTCCCACACCACTGCCACAAATATTTTTTGCTTTCGCTTTCTGTTTTTCCTCATCTCTCCGTACATAAACTTTCTGAGCCTCCCTTAACAATTCCTGTACCCAACAACCTTGCCAATCATCTAATTTCTCCAGCTTTCTTCTAATATCCCTCCAAAGATCATGCACGAACTCACATATTGAGTTTTTAAAAACGCTTCTCCTACTGGGGAAGCCGGATCCACTCCGGAATACATTTGCAACGTTTTCCTTAATCTCTCTAACCAATCAGTAGGAGACTCATTTTTCTCCTGATGCTCACTAAAGGCTTTATTGATATTCTGTCCTCTCACAACTGCTTCCCTAATTCCTTGTATTATAATTTCTCTCAAGTCTGTCATGTTTTCTGTCACGACCATTCTGATTATTCCAATTGGGATTTTGATTAGGCCATTTTTGCTCTCCGGGAGGACCCTGTTGATGTCGCCTTTACCAATATCGCGTTCCAGCTTGCCTAATCATAGATTTTTCTTCTGCAGTAAATAATATTCCCAATATTGACTGCATCTCCTCCCAAGTATAAATATTAGGACCTAAGAAGTGGTCCAATCCTTCAGAAACCCCCAAAGGGTCGTCTAGTAAGCAACCCATCTCCTTTTTAAAGGATCTTACATCGCTTGTATTCAGGGGTACTGATACAAATCCAATCCCCCCTCCATTTCCTCCCATCGGCACCTCTCAGAGGGTAAATAGAGTTTCTTTTTCTTTTGTTTCCTCCTGAAAATTTTCATTCCCCTGTATTTTTATTTTACTTTTGGTGTGACTGGAGGGAGGGGAGGATGGGGAAGCCGATGGAGAAGGATCGGGTGGTATCGGTGGGTAAGCGCCTTCCCGATCACCTCTCGAGTCCCGCCCTTGATAAGGGGGTGGTAAATTATCTAAAGGCTCCCATGATGATTCAGTTGGTTTATTCACCTTCCCTTTCTTTTAAGGGAAATAATGAAACCGCTATAGATGACCCTTTCCATATTGCAGCATAATCACTCTCCTCTTAATTGAAAGGTTCCTTGCCATTTACATATAGATTTAAAGCCTGACAAAATGGTCAGGCCGAATTTCCTCTTTGGTCCACACTTCCATACAGTAATGGACCATTTTTTTTCCTTATTTTTTCCCTTCTGGGATGGCCAAAAGCCCCAGTACTTAAGTATTAACCCCAAGGGACTGTCTGGGGGTGTATCTGGTAATTCGCTCCCTGCCTTATTCCTGGGACCTCTCCGTGGGCCCCTCCCTCGGTTACAGCTACGGCTTTTACTCTGACCCATTCTCCCGCCGGGTGTGTCTTCTCACAATCAATCACTATCACTTCCCTCCTTCAGCAGACAAGTGCCTCACGGGAGATTAGAAATGCGCTTAGAAGAGGTCCACACTTGCTTCACAGATCCCGATGCCCTGGCCCGTATTTTCCCAGGTCCAGCATACCCAGTCCATGTCTCAATCGTGCACAAGCACCAATCACTGAAAGAGGCTTCTCTTCACCGGCCAATTCCCTCAGGGGAGATTGGAACCTCGGTTAGAGGAAAACATCACAGTCACACTCACACACCGGCCTTCCCACCCAACCGAGCGATACTCACAGTCCGTTGTTCTCGTCCGGGTCTTCGTGCACAAGAATTACGGGTACCTTATACTGCAGTTTTTACGGGAGCTCAAATTCCTTGGTTATTGCCTCTCTGTTCGTTGATCTCGCGAGACTACCCGGGACTACAACTCCTGAGCCACAAATTATGGGGCGCCTCCTCATAAAAGCTATAGTCCCAAGCAGCCACACAGAGATCACGTCGGGGTCACCAATTCTGCTATAAAAATTCCATCTTGATCATTATCTGATTTAATTATTTTTTTATTACAATTGATTAATATTGAGAGGCAATAAGCAAGCAGCACTGGGTGCACCGGGAGTCTCCGCTCCACCCAAGATGCACACCAAGATTTCTGGGGTACAGTCTATTATACTCCTCGGTATTGGGTTTCAGCCAATCCTGTCGTCTCCTTCACCCGAATATCAATGTGGTTCCTTTTCATTTTTCTCCTCCTGTTGCTGGGGTCTTATCCTCGGGTGAAGAAACTTCTTAAAAAGTTACAGAATTCCTTGATAATACATTAAAAGGGGATGTCTATCACAAGCTTAACCACAATCTTAGCCCCCTAAATTCCATTTCTTATATAGCTACTTTTTCAGTACACAAGTTTCACCACATCCTGTAACAGGATGTATCTCTTGATTACCTAACCCCATTAAGGCATTCAAGCAGTTAAACAAAGAACCCCTGTAATTGGCAAAGCATTTGAGACATTCAAGTAGTTAAACAAAGTACCCCTTAAAGTAACAAAGCGTTTGATTAAGAAGGATTATTCCTTTGTTCCTTCTTCTCTTTCATCACTGTATTGACAGGAACATCTACCATAAACTGATCATTCTTATCCATTCTACACGATACAATGATTTCAAGGATTTTCAGTTCCACCCAAAGTACAATGATGACAAGGACTCCTAAGTTGCTGACACGAATCATTCCTATATATCTCACAGAATGAACCCCTTTAAAGGGGCCTCATCCGGCCCCACTCCCACCTCAACCTGCCCCATTCCTGCCAGGAACCCGCCTCCATCCCCACAGCTCTCACCTCAGCGCGCGGAGCGGTTTTGAAAGGGCCGCGCTCCGCCACAAAAAAGGCGCCGCGCAAGGCATGCTGGGAATTGTAGGCGCAGCATTGAGCACAGCCAACGCCTACGACTCCCATCATGCCCCGCGGCGGAATGCCGGCCGGCACGCACAGCGATCTGGGAGATGTAGGCTTAGCATTGACTGCAGCGCTAGGGAGGACTGCAACTCCCATCATGCCCTGCGGCGGTGCCTTCCCTCTGGGCTGGCGATGGGACCTCCTCGGGGCCCTGCATCCATGGGCATCACCTATGGGATACCTTTGGATTCCAACCGGGAGTCACTGATGGCTTCCCTGGATCCATGGGAATCACCCATGGGATACCAGCACCTAAACCCTAATGGGTCCTCACCCCCAACCCCATTGCTCCGACCCCAGGGTGGGTGGTAAAGGATGTGTAAAGGGTGCGTAACTCACGCACCTTGGAATAACCCTTCCCTTTAGGAATTCCCATCTGGAGGATGCTTTCCCACCTCCTCTCATCCCTTGCATTCCATGGCCTTGAGGTGTTTTGTGGAGAGAAGCAGCATCCCAAGCCCTGCATCCACATGCAATTTGCCCTTGGATTCACTTCTCAACCCCTTGGATCCACTATCCAAGGAGGAATCAATTCACACTGGGGTTGAGGTGGATTCACGCCAAGCGGAACTGTTACGCAGCAAATCCTGCTTTGCTCCACGTGGGAATGATGCAGGAACGCCCGCTCTGAATGCCACAGGGAATGCTTTGGGATATGGTTACTACAGGTTTACATCAGGGTTACTACAGGTTTACAATGGGATTAGTACAGGTTTACACCGCGGTTACTACAGCTTGACACAACAGTTATGGCCTTTTTGGGAAGGGAATAGCTGGAGTTGGAGCCGCTGGGATCCACTCTTCCATTGGGCCAACAATTCCCGTTGCACATCTGCAGGGAGCTCATAGAAGGTCTCTGTATCCACATCAGGAGCAATTACCATGTCTTTACTACGGGTTTGCTTCATCGATGCTGCTGCAGGGGTCTCCTTATCCCAGCTGGAAGCACATGACCCAGTCGGGATGATCCCAGCTTCTGGAGGCTCTTTCTCCATCCTGACCCCTGTCCTGCTGGGATACTCAGAGGCCTGGGTTGCTCCTACAGGGTTACTACACCCTGCAGGGCGAGCAGCACCGCTTAATCCCATTGGATTTTGAGAAGGGTTTTGGATCTCTTTGGGAAAAGGCACTGAGGGCTGAGCCGGAACATTCCCAGCATGGAATTCCAGCTGGAAAGGGAGTTCTTGTTGAAGAGCTTCAGGAAGGACTTCCTGGGCAATGGAACAAAAAGAAGGAATTGCTCTGGGTCTTCGTGGGCTTTCCTCTCCCTCCGGAAGCCTCCTGCTGTTGGGAATTCTGCTGCAAGAGGCGCTCCCCTTCCCTTGGGAAACTGCAGCTTCCTATGGAAAGAGCAGAGATCAAAGCAGGAGCAGCCTAGGGGTCACCAACCAGGGAGCAGCCACGGCCTGAGTCACAGCCAAGGGCACCTTGGAGCCTGCTCCAGGCAGATCAACGCCAGGAGAGGGCTCCCATAGCACCCACAACACGCACAGCACCCATAGAGCTCCAGCACCCACAGCAACCACCGCACTCCCGGCACCCACAACACACACAGAACCCCAGCACCCACAGCACCCACAGCACCACCAGCACCCACAACACCAACACCACCCATAGCACCCCCAACACCCATAGAACCCATAGCACCAGCACCAGCACCCACACCTCCAGCACTCACAGAACCCCCAGCATTCAAAGCACCCGTAGCACCCATAACACCCCCAGTAACCAAAGCACTCCCAGCACCCATAGCAGCCATTGCAAACACAGCACCCCCAGCAGCTACAGCACTCCCAGCACCCATAACACGCACAGAACCCTCACACCCACAACACCCCTAGGACTCACAGCACTCTCAGAATCCATAGCACCCTCAGCACCCATAGAACCCTCAGCACCCCCAACAGCCCCAGCACGCCCCAGAACCCACAACACCTCCAGCACCCACAAGAGCCCAAGCACCCATAGAACCCCAGCACCCATAACACACACAGAACCCTAACACCCACAGCACCCATAGAGCCCTCAGCACCCATAGAACCCCAGCACCCACATCCATAACATGCACAGAACCCTAGCACTCACAGCACCCCTAGCGCCCACAGCACTCATAAAACCCATAGCAACCTCAGCACTCATAGAACCCCCATCACCCATAGCACCCATAAGCACCCTAGACAAGCACCTTCCCACTCCCTCCTTGGCCAGAAGTGGGTGCTGGGCCCTTGCCCTTGAGGTAGAAGCCAATGGAGCCCTTCCTGGTGGGAAGCTCCTGGAGGTTGGAGAAGCAGACGTTGAGGAGGGTGAGGTGGAACGGGAGCTCCGTCGGGATCATCTTCCGCAGGAGCTTCATAAGGATGCTCCCCAGGGGCGAGAGAAGGCTCCCGGGATCTACAAGATGGGAAACAGGGATCAGATCCCAAAGAACACATGGGATAACAGGGAGTTGAGTAGGAAAGGATAAAGGTTGGAGCATCCTGGTCTCAATGTCTCCTATGTCCACCTAAGCCCGATTCCAATGGGAGATGATTCCAGCCCTCATGGATATTCCCACATGGATGCTCCATCCATGTCCTGGTGGCCTCAACATAAGGGCATGGAGCAGATGAAGCAAAGGCAAAGGAGGCCAGAGCTTCTTCCAACCCATTCCATTGTCCCAGCAGCCCCATGAGGAAGAGCTTTCAAAGATCCCTCCTTTTCTCAGGATCAAGGAATGGAAAAGATTCCCAAAGCTTGAAGAGTTGGGAATGGGATGACCTTAAATAATGGGGTTGGAAAGAGGCATCCCGCTGTTGCAGCACAAAGCCGACCATTCCAAGCTTACCTTTCCCAAATTTGGGAAGGAGATGCGGCGGGATAGGGCACTGACGGCATTCCCGATGGAACCCCTTTCCCGATGAGGAGAAGCGGCGGATGCTCAACCTTACGGTGCGTGGTTGCCTCCCATCCTGGCGGATTCTGTGGAGCATCAAGGAGTAAGTGCTATTCCGGGTCTATGGAAGCTGCCACAGCATTGGATCATGGATCATTGGATCATGGATCATTGGATCATGGATCATTGGATCATGGGATCGGGAGCTTACACAAGACCTTCAAGGCCACCATGACCCGCCCCATATCCTTCTTTACTCCATGGAGAAGACCCTTTCCACGCCATTCCATGATGAATATTATCCCATCGGGAAGATCTCTGGAAACAATCACCTTTCCAAGAGGCTTGAAAGCATCGTTCCCAGTTTCTCCTGGACTTCCACCTCTGAGGAACACTTCCGGAAGGAATCTTCGTCACTAAAGGAGCAGAAGGAATCCTCATCACTAAAGGAACAGAAGGAATCCCATCACTTGGATTCTATCCCAGATTCCCAAGAGGAATAGAAGCAGGGAGATATGGAATGAACTTTGGACACATGGAGCTTCAGA